TAAATTAATTAAATATATTTAATTATTTTTGAATAACATACAATTTTATACCCTCAAACAAAAAATACAAAATAATAGAAAAAATGTTACTAAGTCGGATCAAGAAAAAATTATGAAAAAATTATTTCAAAACTATATTATTGAAAATAAATAGACTAAATTAACATATTTTTAGGGTAAAAATGAAGAATATATTAATATTTTTTTGTAATACTTTATTACAATATTCTAATTTTGAAGTATTTTTCACCTTTTTTTGCAAGTCTAGTAAATAAATAATAATCTCATATAAAATATAATTTCTTTTTTGAAGTGATTATAGATATTAATGAACTTTCAATTAAAATATCAAATTTAATTTTTGAATTGATAAAATATAAATTATATAAAAAATTTCAACTAATGTAAAATTTCTTTTTCATACCCAAATAAAATTATTTTTCTTAAAAATTGATTTTAAAGAAAAAAATGATCCTTTTACATAACTTCCAAATATTTTCTTTAAATTTAAAATGGTTCTTATAATTCAAACATCAAAAACAAAATTTGTACTAATTAAAAATTAATGTACTAGATTAAACATTTTTCAAAAGCCTAGGGAGGCGGCTGCCTCCCCTTGTCCCATGGTAGCTCCGTCCCTGCCGACCAACAGCTCACGTTTCAAGCTGTCCCACCTTGGCCACTCTTTTTTCATTTGTTTTGTCTTCTTCAGCTGACTTCGATTGAGTCTTCTTCTTCTTCCTTTTTTTTTTTTTTCATTTTATTTTTTGAACGTGTGGAAATTTAGAGAAAGGGGATTGATTTTGCAAAGATAAGAATTAAGTTTTTAATCTTAGTTAAATTACATCCTATTCAATGCAGTTTAATCTTGGTTAAATTGCACTCTATTCAATGCAATTAATTTTTGGTTCGGTAGTAAAAACTAGGGGTGGGCACGCACGCGGGCAACCGATCGGTTGCCCGACAACCGCAACAAAATTGGGCTTGCGGTGCGGTTACAAACGGGCTTCGGGCCCAAGGAACGGTTTTACGCATCAACCGTTTATAATCGGTGCGGGCTTCGGTTCCTAGCCCAACAACCGAACAACCGAATAATACACCCGAAAACCCATATTATTGTTTAGGAAAATATAAAATATATATCTTCTAAAACACATTGGCACCTTCACAATTTGTTGTGGGAAGCAAGGCGCATTCAACATCTAACTCAAATAAACACGCTTGACACTTGTAAGCCAAGTCTGGGCATCATCGGAAAGGGCTTTCTGCGACAAAGAAAAACAAATGAGCTCCGGTACAAGATTCGGAGTTTACGGAGCTCGAAAAGCTTTATGAGTCTAGAACCCAACATAATCCGAGAAAAACCCAGATCTAGAACATAATTCGAGAAAAACTCAGATCTAGAAAAACCCAGATCTGGGTTTTGAGAGAGGAAGAAGAAGGGAGAAGAGAGAGAGAAAGAATAAGAGAAAGAAAAAAGAATGATGAGCAGGGAAAGGAAAAAGATGAAGTTGGAGAAAGAAAACCCAGATCAAAGATTGTTTTTTGGGGGAATCCTTGGATGAGGTGAGGAGGAAAAAGGCTGGGAAAAAAGAAGGGGTGGAGGGATGAGAGAGAAGAAGGGAGGAAGAAGAAGATGAACAATATAATAATAAATTAGGTGAGTTTTTATTTAAATAAAAAAAAAGCCACGTGGAAAAAAAAAAGCAATTTCATCAAGTTTGTTTTCCACGTAATTATTATTTCTTTTAAAATGTGATTTTGTGGCAAGATAACGTGTCATCTGTCATCTAACTGACGGAAGGACCTTTTTGGTACCGAAAATGAAATTTTAAGGATAATTTTAATACTTTTTAAAATTGAGGGATAATTTTGGTACCAAAATGTAAAGTTGAGGGACCAAAATGATACTTAAACCTAAAATTAAAAGAAATGGATCACAAAGTATTCAGCAGATATTTGGACCAGAAAACGAAAGGCCCAAATCCAATAAAAAAAAAAAGTTGCTAAGGGTACGAGGCTGGAATCGGTCAAAATTGAAACCGATGTCAACCGAACCAATTAATTTAGTAACCGAACTGAAAAACTGAAATATTATTTGGTTCAATTTTTGGTTGTTATTTTACAAAATAAACAACCGATTAAAACCGTCAATTTAGGTTCAATTCCAATCGAACCGAACCGATGCCCACCCCTAGTAAAAACATTAAGATGAATCTCTGAACTGTCAGTACCTACCGACAACTCACCTTCAGAGCTGTCTCACCTTGGGCCACTCTTCTGTCATTTGTTTTGTCTTCTTCAGCTGACTTCGATTGAGTCTTCTTCCTCTTCCTCCTCTCCCCTTTTTCTTTTTTTTTTTCATTTTATTTTTTGAACGTGTGGAAATTTAGAGAAAGAGGATTGATTTTACCAAGATAATAATCAATTTTTTAATTTTGGTTAAATTGCACCCGAAAATTCAAAGCAGTTTAATCTTGATTAAATTGCACCATATTCAATGCAGTTAACGCTGTAGGTACAAGTCTTCTACAGTTGATTAGAAACCTTAGTAATTTATATTTTTTTGAACAATGTGTTATCAGATGGGCTCGAACTTATTTAAGGGAGAGAGCGGTGCATCACAATGGGATAAGAAATCACTTAATTTGAAGGATCAGATGTGAAATTTTAGTAATTTATTTTTTACTTAATATTTATGAATAATGATAAAAAAAATAAAAATTTAAGATAAAAATTTAAAATCAACCTATGTTATTAATTTAGTTAACACATATAATATCATAAATTTAAAAAAAATATATTAAATAATATATAATTTATTTTTTAATATTTTAAATAATATAATTTATATCACATTATTAATCTTAAATTTTAATTCCAAATTTTCATCCCACTTATCTTTTTTCAACTTTCAGCGGCTCTGGTTCCTTATCCACACCGAAAGCCACATATATAAGGCAAGACTCGGAACTTTTCCCATGTTTTTATCTAAGCCCTTAAATTAAGTTTCAAGGAAATAAGCTCTGAAGCTTATGATTTTAGCAAAGTAGCCCCTAAAATTAGCACTACCGTCTGTATCCGTTACTCTATCTAACTTGGCATACATCTATCGTTAGTTTTGTTTGAAATGGCTGGTAAAAAATAATTAATTTCATTTCAATCCATAAACTATTTCAATTTTAAAGGTAGTTAATAACTAAACCTTAACTAATTCATTAAAACAAAAGATCAGTGTATGTATAACAGCTCATAAGCACGTGACTACCTTTTGTAAGAGGACAACTTTAAGAGTTTTAAGTTTGACCACAAACGTGGCCTTGTTTTGAATCACAGATAATTCGAATTAATACTACAAGAGAAGGAATGCAAGGGCTCTTAGAGTGGAAAATACCTTGAATCTGTAATGTTTTCATTTTTTTTAGTAAAGTTTAGGACTAATTTCTATCGAAATTTAAATAGTTCATGGACTTAACTGAAATTAATCTTTTTTTTTTTAGTGACATCAAGAGAAACTAACGGCACCTGCTTGACTCATCCGCTATATTAATGGAGATAAACAGTACCGTCACATATAAGGAGCTAATTTACCAGCGCGCAATTTAGGAGGTTATCTGCTTAAAAGTTATCTTAGGGGATTACACAAAAATACGGGCGAAGTTTAAGGGGCTTAATAATGGGTTCTGCTTGTATATTCCTCTTTAGATCGACTAATTCTCCAACACTTGGCGTGGCAGCCTCTAAGAAAGACTGGTGCGTTGGATATATTTCTCTTCACTCCGCACGCTCTCTCACTCACCCTTCATTTGGTTCTGACACCATCAATTGACAAAGGCTCATATATTCTGAGGTCAGAGGTAGTTACATATTTGAGTTCATTCTTGATCTATTGATTGTTTCTGTTTATTTTTTTTAATCTTATCAGTATTTAAATATCTTTTATTATTTAGGTATGAGAGATATCTTAACCCTTTTCATCAAACTTTACATTCCCACAAATCTTCCGCAAGTTTCAACTAGAATTTCTCCCACGGCACAGATAAAGAAATTGAATCCAATAACTTAAAAAGTAAGCTAAGCCCTCCGTTTTTCGTTTGATCCAGATGAAAGACCTAATCTCTGCATAAACTCAAAACAATCTTTCTTCATTCCACTGACCCCCTCCGAACAAAATATTGTTCCTTTCCAACCAAATAGCCCACAGCACCATACAATAAATAAGGGACCCCAACTCCTTATTTTACAACATAAATCCAACACGAACTGCTAAC